GGATTGTCTAATGTGAATTTGTTTTCTTCCTGCTTTTTCTATGTCTTCTTCCTGGCACTGGTTCAGAAACATTCATATCCACCCCAAGTCATCTTCTGTTAATTCTTCTGGTGTGGTGTCCTTTAGCTCTTGAACCTCTCCAAGATCTGTATCTTGAAACCCTTTCTTCCCAACCCTTTTTGCCACATCGACAATCTCTTTCATGATTTCCTTGACTGTCACAAATCCTGTGAAGTCATGCGCAACATCTGGACAGTTTTCTCTAGCAGGAATTTATTGTTTCAGGCTTGATGGCTTTCAAGGCTTTTTCTATAATAATGATGGCATTTCCAATGGTGGAATCCTTTCAAGCTTTCATGATTTCTCTCCATTGGGGGTTCTCTTCCATAGTTTTGGTAACACTTTCCATAGAGTTCTCTGTGTAATGAACCTTAAAGGTCTTTATGACCCCCTGATCTAGAGGCTAACATTGTGTTTGGGGCCATTTTGACACCTTCAGTATTGAATTAATGGGGTTCTGGATAGCCAGAGGCATTGTCAAGAATGAAAACAAATTTAAAAGGTAGTACCTTACGGGCAAGGTACTTCCTGATCAGGGACAAAGCATCAACAAAACCAATCTGGAAAAAAAGTTCCTGTTGTCCAGACTTTTTTTTTTTTTTTTTTTTTTTTTTTTGAGACAGTCTCGCTCTGTTGCCAGGCCAGAGTGCACTGGTGCAATCTTGGCTCACTGCAACCTCCGCTTCCTGGGTTCAAGTAATTCTCCTGCCTCAGCCTCCCAAGTAGCTGGGACCACAGGCGCATGCCACCACACCCAGCTAATTTTTGTATTTTTAGTACAGACAGGATTTCACCATGTTGGCCAGGATGATCTCGATCTCTTGACCTCATGATCTGTCTGACTTGGCCTCCCAAAGTGCTGGAATTACACCACGCTTGACCACATTGAGACCTTCTTGTTGTACTGGCAGCTGGTGTTTATCTTTTCTCTCAAGGTGCATTAGCAGCTTTATAGATAAGGACTGTCTTGATCATAAACCCAAGTGCATTTGCACAAAATAACAGAGTTGTCTATCCCTTCCTGTGTTACATCCTGGTGTTCACTTCTCTTCCTTACTAATAAACCTCCTTTGTGGCAGTTTTTTCCAGAAAAGGGTACTACCTTCTGCACTAAAAACCTGTTCAGACAGGTATCCTTTCTCCTCAATGGCACCTGGGAACTTGTCTGCTGCCTCTTGGTTGGCAGAAGCTGCTTCTCATTCTTAACATTTTTTTTTTTTTTTTTGAGACGGAGTTTCCCTCTTGTTACCCAGGCTGGAGTGCGATGGCGTGATCTCGGCTCACCGCAACCTCCACCTCCTGGGTTTGGGCAATTCACCTGTCTCAGCCTCCCGAGTAGCTAGGATTACAGGCACGTGCCACCATGCCCAACTCATTTTTTATATTTTTAGTAGAGACGGGGTTTCCAGGATGGTCTCGATCTGTTGACCTCGTGATCCACCCGCCTCAGCCTCCCAAAGTGCTGGGATTACAGGCTTGAGCCACCACGCCCGGCCCATTCTTAACATTTTTAAAGCCAAAGCTCTTCTGAAAATTATCAAACCACCTTTTGCCAGAATTTAATTCTCCAGCTTTGGATCCTTCACTTGCCTTTTGCTTCAAGTTGTTATATAATGAGTTAGCTTTTTCTCAAATCGTAATATATATATCTTTTTTTGTTTTTTTAATATGGAGTCTTGCTCTGTCACCCAGGCTGGAGTGCAATGGCATGATCTCAGCTCACTGCAACCTCCACTTCCTGAGTTCAAGAATTTCTCCTGTCTTAGCCTTCCAAGTATCTGGGACTAGAGAGGCACACCACCATGCCCAAGTATTTTTTGTACTTTTAGTAGAGACAAGGTTTCACCATATTGGTCAGGCTGGTCTTGAACTCCTGTGATCTTAGGTGACCTCAGGTGGTCCACCCACCTCAGCCTCCTGAAATGCTGGGATTATAGGCATGACTCACCACGCCCAGCCTAAAGTATGTCTTATAGTAACCTTGCACCCACATAAACGCTACATTTTCGTTATGAGACAAAAAGGTATTTCACAAAAAGTGCAAGGTTTTCATGCCTGCTGGGATGGCTTCATAAATTTCCGTTTCTTTTTTTACAATATTCCTTACTGGATAAATTTATCTTGAAATGGCAGGCAACCAAAATGACAAACCTTGATCTATGGTACATATCCAGCAATTCAACTTTTTCCAGTAATGTCATGACTTTCCTTTGCTTCTTGGGAGCACCTGATGCATCACTTCATACGAGTCTCATCTTAGTATGCAATATTTATAGTACTGCACTAACACAATTAAAAATATGCAAGAACTGCGAGAGATCACTTTTTATTACAATACACAATTTACTGGAGAGACAAACTGCTCATGGAGATGATATGCATTTTAAGCAGTACTTGCAACACTTGAGCTCACTGCCAGAGCAACAGGATGTGACTACAAAATTATTACAGTAGTACATTAGGCACTACAGTGATTTTTTTTTTTTGAGATGGAGTTTCGCTCTTGTTACCCAGGCTGGAGTGCAATGGCGTGATCTCGGCTCACCGCAACCTCCGCCTCCTGGGTTCAAGCAATTCTCCTGCCTCAGCCTCCCGAGTAGCTGGAACTACAGGCACGCACGACCATGCCAAGCTAATTTTTGTACTTTTAGTAGAGATGGGGTTTCACCTTGTTGACCAGGATGGTCTCGATCTCTTGACCTCGTGATCCACCCGCCTTGGACTCCCACTGTGCTGGGATTACAGGTGTGAGCCACCGCGCCTGGCCTACAGTGATTTTATGTAGTTATGATTTAATATTGCATCATTACTTTTGTTTACATTTCTCTGGACTGTGAATGATACCATATATGGTAAGTGTGTGTACAAATTATAATCATTAATAATAGATTTACATATATTTTATAGTAGTAAATAATAAAATAGATTAGTCTTCATATATTTTATGTATTCATGACATACTGTTTTCTTAATTTTTTGGTAATATTTTATTTATTTTCTCATGCACTGGCCTACTGTACTTAAACATTTCCATCAGACTTGAAAAATAATTTTACTTTAGAAGAAAGAAAATATTTTACTTATTTAGCTTTTGTTTATACTGTTTTATTATGAAGACTTGTGTGTATGTGTGTGTGTGTGTGTGTGTTTTGGTTTTTTTTAGACAGAGTCTCGCTGTTGCCAGAGGCCAGGCTGGAGTGCAGTGGCACAATCACGGCTCATTGCAACCTCCGCCTCCTTGGTTCAAGCAATTCTCTTGCCTCAGCCTCCTGAGTAGCTGGGACTACAGGCATGCGCCACCACGCCCAGCTAATTTTTATATTTTTTTAGTGGAGATGGGGTTTCACGATTCCAACCAGGATGGTTTCGATCTCTTGACCTCGTGATCCACTCGCCTCAGACTCCCAACGTGCTGGGATTACAGGCGTGAGCCACTGCACCCGGCCTTTTTTTGGGTGTTTTTTTAAGAGCTAGGATCTTGCTACGTTTTCCAGGCTGATCTCCAATTCCTGGCTTCAAGCAATCCTCCTGTCTCAGCCTCCTGAGTAGCTAGGACTGTAGGTATATGCCACTGCTCCCAGCTTGAGTTTTTGTTTGTTTGTTTCTACTATAATGGAATGTGTTTTTATTCACGCATTGGAAAAGACTTTGCTACAAATTAATACAAACTTGTCACTAATAAATTCTTTTTTTTTTTTTTTTGAGACGGAGTTTCACTCTTGTTACCCAGGCTGGATGGAGTGCAATAGCGCGATCTTGGCTCACCGCAACCTCCGCCTCTGGGTTCAAGCCATTCTCCTGCCTCAGCCTCCTGAGTAGCTGGGATTACAGGCACGTGCCACCATGCCCAGCTAGTTTTTGTATTTTTAGTAGAGATGGGGTTTCACCATGTTGACCCAGATGGTCTCGATCTCTTGACCTCGTGATCCACCCGCCTCGGCCTCCCAAAGTGCTGGGATTATAGGCTTGAGCCACCGCGCCCAGCCATAAATCCTTCTTTAAGTAAGAAAATAATATCACATGAGCATAACTTTGTATGAGTTTTCATGTCCTGGAGCCTTGTTGCTTCATATAAAAAGTGCAGGTTGGTAAAAATTAAAATGTGGTAATATGGTGTAACGGGCTTAACCCAATGAGGGTACGATAAAGGATGACTATTATTTTTACATGAATTCAACTGAAATCCGGATAGGGCAACACCAATAACAATGTTTCCCATATAGCTTTAACATTGTTGTTTGTCATCCCCTCATCTACCCAATGAGAATTAAAGGTAGCCTGTTAGGCTGCTTGACAGGACCACTGAATGCTATGAATCAACCATACTCTATCCTCTCAATTAACAGATGGGAAAGCAGAGGTCCAGGGAGTTTGGAAAACTTGTCCACAAAGGGACAACTACTTTGTGGCTGAACTATGTCTAGGACCAGGGCTCTTTCTATCAACATGAGCATGAGCATCACTTTATACCTGCCTTGACATGTAGAAAGCACCTCCTCAGCTCCATGATTTTATTATGCTACAGCACTCAGCTCATGAAAATGGCTTTTTTTTCCTCCTTTCTTGTCTTTGGAAGATTTTTTGCATTCTTGTAGCAGCTGATTCCGTACTAACCCTTAAATTGAAAAAATATGTATATGCACGCAAGTGAATATGTGGAAGAAACAGCACTAGGTCTCCCTGGACAACCCAGTACAGGCCACACCCAGGCAGTCACAAAGCACAAATAAGAAATGGTCTTCCCATGTGAGTTGCTTTCAACACTTCAATACTAAAGAGCTCAGAAGTGCTTACACTATGAAAGAAGCCTATGAACATTTGTAGACTCCCCTTTAACGTGTCTCATTTTGAGACAGAACAGTGAGCAGGCTGACCAGCTGCTCTTCATGTACTTCTTGTAGTAAATCCTTCAAAGAATGAAGAGTGAAAACAACTCATTTCTCCTGGAATTTTTCCTTCTTATCATTTTGCTTTTTTAAAGGTTATTATATTTAGGTATAGGCATAAGACATTATAAAATATAAGGGATATCATGTGAGGGAGGAAATCAGTGAATCCAAAAAAATCTTTCATAGAAATTAAAAATCAGAACTTGGGGGCAAGGTAAGAGGCAACACACTCTTTCCACAGAGCTGTTACACATAGCCCAACTGTCCTCAAAAGCAGGAATGAAAAAAAAAAACAGACCTCAGCTTCATAATGAAGCTGGGTTCTTTGTCTGACAGCTTTTAATGTCCTTAAAACTGGGCTAGGCAACATGAGTCTTTCCTGGAATAGGCCAAGGAAGACAAGTCCAGTTTGGTTTTTGAGACTTTAGTGAGCCAGCAGCTCATGGAGGGACATGCCATCACCATCGTGGGAGTACACCCAGTTTTTCCCAGTCCAGTCATAACACTTGCGTCCACCTGATGGAGAAGATAACCCGATTTGCTTGTTTGGCGTCTGCTTATTGATCACGTAGGTTCTTAGATCTCTACCCAGTTTAGCAGTTTACTCCCAAGAAAACATCATAGTCCTTAAAAAACATGTATGGCTTGTCTGCAAGGTCTTCAAAAAACTCTGCTAAGGAGTCTAGTGTTTCTTCTGCTAGTCTTTCATGGGTGGTCTCATCTAGAGAGCCTGAGTGGCCCAAAGTTCCCGATTTCCTCAAATTCCTCAAATAGACACTCTGCTTTTGACATTCCAAATCTGGTTGAGGCCATGGAGGTTCAAACTGGTGAGGCAGGGTGCACAGGCCACGGCGATTCCGGTGCACAGGCCCCGGTGGTCACAGAGTGGGGCCAACTCTGCTGGCTGTGGGGCCCGGGTTAGCAATGTTTTCAACATTTCTAGGCTATGTAGTTCATTTGTTTTTCAAATTATTGCAAATCTCTAAAATTTTTCCAATATATTTATTTTTTAAAAATTGTGTCTAAGTGGACCTGCCCAGTTGGCCCATGCAATGGCACAATCAGAGCTCACTGCAGTCTCAAACTCCTGGGCTCAAGCAATTCTTCCACCTTAGCCTCCTGAAGGGAGACTACAGGCACATAACACTACACCTGGCTAATTTTTAAAATTTCTTTATGGAAACGAGTTCTCACTATGTTGCCCAGGCTGGTCTCAAATTCCTAGCCTGAAGTGACCTTCCTGTCTTGGCTTCCCAAAGTGCTGAGATTGCAGGTATAAGCCACTGTGCCTGGTCCATTGCATAGTTCTTTTACATTTTAAAATTATCATTATAAAATGGAAAAAAAAATACTTTGAAATCAAAAGCTGCAAAATATTTTTTAAATGTTCAGTCATATTTGAAAAAAATGTTACTTACAAAAGTGAAAAATATAATGGCTAAAATATTTAAAACCTCAATGAAGTATTGTATAGGTAAATGCATACACAAAAAAGCAACAGCTAGCAAAGTGGATTATCAAGTCAAGCAAAAGATTTGAACACGTTATTTACAAAGAAAAACACAGAAGAACACATGTGAGAAGTTGCTCAACCTCAACAGTAATCCTGGAAATAAAAATTAAAACCACAATGACCTACCACTTTACACTCACCAGAGTCACAAAAACTATAAAGTATGACTGCAACAAGTGTTGGAAAGGAGGGATTACAGAAATAGCAACACTTACATCCTGCTAGGATGAGTATATACTGATTCACCGCTTTGGAAAACAGTCTGGCATTATCTAGTAAAGTTAAATATGCTTATATCCTCTGATCTGCAATTCTACTAATAGGTATATTATTCAGAGAAAATCTTATATATGTGTACCAGGAAACGTATACAAGAATTTCACAGTATCTTTTTTTTTGAGTCAGGGTATCGCTCTTGTTGCCCTGGCTGGAATGCAACGGCACGACCTCAGCTTACCTCAACCTGTGCCTCCCAGGTTCAAGCAATTCTCTTGCCTCAGCCTCCCAAGTAGCTGGGACTACAGGCATGTGCCACCACGCCCAGTTAATTTTGTATTTTTAGTAAAGACAGGGTTTCACCAGGTCAATCAGGCTGGTCTCAAACTCCCAACCTCAAATGATCTGCCCACCTGGGATTACAGGCATAAGCCACCCTGTCTGGCCCCATTTTTTTTTTCTTTTTTTCTGAGACTGAGTCTTGCTCTGTTGCCCAGGCTGGAGTTCAGCAGTATAATCTCGGCTAACTGCAACCTCTGCCTCCTGGGCTCAAGCAATTCTCCTGTGCCAGCCTCCTGAGTAGCTGGGATTACAGGTGCATGCCACCACTCCTGGCTAATTTTTGTATTTTTATTAGAGACCAAATTTCATCATGTTGGCCAGGCTGGTCCTGAACTCCTGTCCTTGTGATCTGCCTGCCTCAGCCTTGCAAAGTGCTGGGATTACAGGCATGAGCCACCGCACCTGGCCAGCATCATTTATATAATAATAAAACCTTGGAAACAACCCAAATGTCCATTATCAGCATAATGAAGAAGTAATTTGCAATATATAGTAAAATAATATTTAGTGTTGTATGGTCAAACAAAATAAATGAATGATAAGTTATAGACATCAACATGGCTCTGTCTGAAAATAAACCAATCAATCAATCAATAAAATTTAGTAAGTGAGTTTCATTTGAGAGAAAGATAGGATCAGGGAGGTATAAAAAATGTTCTACTTTTTTTTTTTTTTTTTTTTTTTTGAGATGGAATTTTGCTGTGGTCACCCAGACTGGAGTGCAATAGTGTGATCTTGGCTCACTCAACCTCTGCCTCCTGGGTTCAAGCAGTCCTCCTGCCTCAGCCTCCAGATAGCTGGGATAACAGATGCATGCCACCATACCTGGCTAATTTTTTTATTTTTAGTAGAGAAGGGTTTTTAGTATGTTGGGCAGGCAGGTCTTGAACTCATGACCTCAAGCCATCCACCAGCCTTGGCCTCCCAAAGTGCTGGGATTACAGGCAGAAGCCACCACATCCAGCCAGAAAATGTTCAACTTTTAAACAAAGGATAGGCACTCAGATGTGGCTTAATATGGTAAATGTTTATACTTTACATCTTCATTTGTGAATACGTATTTTTTTTTAACTTAGAACAGTGTGACAGTACATTTGTAAATATTATTTTCAATTTATCCAAACCTTATTGTATACAGGCAAAATATGATACATGGTTTTTAATACCTAAAATGATAAAATTCATCTTTAATAATGTTCTTTGCCTACCCGAAAAATTTTATGCATCCTCATGGTGGCTGAACAAAAGATAAATCTTGTGAGGAGCAAGCGAAGAAATTCATCTCCAAAAAACTGGAGAAATGCCTGATCTGCAAAGAGGAGAAAAGTGACAGTAAAAAGATGCTTAAATGGAAATTACGTTTCAAAGGGTAAGGAAACTTCAGCAGAGCCTTCTCAACTTTCCTGCCTGGGACACATACCTTTAAAAATTCAAACAATTTAAAATAAGTAACCATTTTAAGCCATGATAGTACATTCTGTTAAGTGTGCAGTTAGATTAAGAGGGTACCTATTGAACGTGAATGGGTCAGTAGCTGGGCAATATCACGGTTGATTTTTCGAAGATATTCTTGACACTTTTCCCATAGGCCTCTGCGCATGCTTGACAATCCAGAGACAAATAGGAAGGCCATTAGAGGATTGTTCAAAAAGAGAGTGAAGAGGCTACCTCGCTGAGATTGATCTGTAATAACAAACATGTTATTATATATATAGATAGTAGTTTTGCAAAAGATAAGAGATACACATGAGGAACATTTTAATATATTGATAATATATAAAATTAAAGTTATATCACTAAATCATAATTCAACAAAGCAGTTTCTTCATGAAACTACAAAAACACACCGTAGGTATGTTGCTTTCTGATGAACAAAATTAAGGAAGAGCCTAGCAAACTTAAGAGAAATGAAAAATGAACATATTTCTTACCATTTTCTACCCTCAATTAACAAATTTCATCCAAGTATGGCAAGTGTTGGATCATGGGTTATCTGTGACAGAATTCTCTGATGAGTGCTAGAAATGCCAGTCTTTTTGATTCTCCTCTGAGTTACTGCTAGTTGCTCTTTCTCTTCCTATCCCTTAAATATGAGTAGTTTCTTTCTTTGGTCTCATACACTACTGACTGCTCTTACTCCCATGATTTTAGTTAACATTTATATGCCTACTAGTTTCCAATTCTCTATCAGCAGCCTAAATTGAATTCCTTAGGTCTAGCACTGCTCTGTCCTGCAATAGATACTGGACACTCAAAATGTGACTAGATAGGTAAAATACACACTGGATTTCAAAACCTTAATACAAAATATCACTGTTAACACTAATTTCACCTGTTTCTTTTTACTGTTTTTTGACATAAGTATTAGAAAATTTTATGACTCACTACATTTCTTAGGTGACTCACACTCTAGTTATGTACTGCTGCTCTAGGCTACTATAATCAACCTAACTCTCAAAGGCACCTCAAACTCAACATGTCAACAACTCAAAGAAAATTATTTCCCCTTTTGTTCTCTACAAATATGTTTCTCATCAAGTATTATCATTTCTACCAGTATCTCAGCCAGAAACCTGGAAGTCTATTCCTGCCTTCCCTCCCCATATCTAAGCCATCACAAAGTCCTGTTGGTTCCATGGGCTCAGTATCTTTTGCAGCCGGCTACATAGACACTGTGGACATCCAGCCATCGCCCTATTTTCATCCATGTGCCTCCCTAGTTTATTCTTAAGAGGTTAACTGAATGCTCTTTCATGCTACTCAGCTGTTTAAATCTTGTGATGGTACCAGTTGAGTACCCCTTATCCAAAATGCTTGGGGTCAGAAGTATTTTGGATTTTGGATTTTTTGGGATTTTGGAATATCTGCATATACATAATGAGATATCCTGGGGACAGATCACAAGTCTAAACACGAAGTTTATATATGTTTCATAAGTACCTTATACACATAACCTAAAGGTAATTTTATATAATATTTTAAATAATTTTCTACATGAAACAAACCTTGTGCTAAGTAACGATATGTGGAATTTTTCACTTTCAGTGTCATGTTGCTACTCAAACTTCTGAATTTTGGAGCATTTCAGATTTTACGATTAAGAATACTCAACCTGTACCCCATCGTCTTCCACTTAAATCACTTAACAAATCTTAGAAGTTCTTTCATAATTCAATCACACAATCTCAAACTCTACCCTTTAGTTAGGAGGAATGACTTTAATTTCTCTATATGCTCAGCCAGGCACAGTGGCTCATACCTATAATCCCAGCACTTTGGGAGGCCAAGGTGAGCAGATCACTTGATGTCAGATGTTTGAGGCCAGCCTGGCCAACATGGCAAAACCCTGTTTCTACTCAAAATACAAAATTAGGCCTGGTGCGGTGGCTCATACCTGTAATCCCAGCACTTTGGAAGGTCAAGGCGGGCAGGTCACAAAGTCAGGAGTTCGAGACCAGCCTAGCCAACATAGTGAAACCCCATATCCACTAAAAATACAAAAAAATTAGCCGGGTATGGTGGCATGCACCTGTAATCCCAGCTACTTGGGAGGTCGAGGCAGGAGAATCACCTGAACCTGGGAGGTGGAGGTTGCAGTGAGCCAAGATTGTGCCACTGCTCTCCAGCCTGGGAAACAGAGCAACACATCATCTCAAAAAATAAAAAAATAAATTTCTCTACATGCTCCCTATGCTGTCTTATCTCATGGCCACAGCACATGCTGGAACACTCTTGCTCGGTCATTTCCCAACCCTATCTAGGTCTCCATGTTCTTAATGTCCACGTTAGACATCATCTCATCCCCTTCCCTCGTCTTCAGTGTGTTGCTAGTCAGGAGTTCCTCATCTTGTTTGCATGCATCCTCCTGTGAATCACTTATTATAACTGCTCATCAGGTTGGCTCTAGCTGCCACCAGACATTTGGCTCTGTGAAGAACATAACTGTGATTGTCAGGTCACAGTGCTATCTCTAGTGCTAGCATAATACCTGATAATAAATGTTGAACTGCACTTTGGGAGGCCAAAGCAGGCAGATCTCTCGAGCCCAGGAGTTTGACAACAGCCTAGGCAACATGGTAAGACCTGGTCCCTACAAAAAAAAAATCCAAAATTAGCTGGATGTGGTGGTGTGTACCTTTAGTCCCAGCTACTTGGGAGGCTGAAGTGGGAGGATCACCTGAGTCCAGGAGGTAGAGGCTGCAGTGAGCTGTGATTACACCACTGCACTCCAGCCTGAGCGACAGAATGAGACCCCATCTCAAAAAAAAAAAAAGTTGAATAAATGAAGTAACTCTTGGCTAATGAGAGAACTATAGGCTTTAGATCTCAGAAGTGCTTACAGATCAGCTAGTTTTGCACCTACATTGAGCGCCCATCCCTTTTGCAGAGGTGAGTAGCAATAATGCCTATATATAAATCCAAAATATTTCTCACAAAAGAATTCTGAATCTGCTTTTGTAATTGAACAATAATTTAAGGTGTTAGAGGTCTAAGCTTTATAGCACAAAGATAGGAGACTAGGTAAAAATGTGCCAAAGTCTGTGTTTTTCTATTCTATAAAATGAAGTCCTTCAGACCAAATAGTCTTAGTATTAACCCATTTGACCATGCAAATTTAAATAAAACTATATAATGATAGGACAGATTGGTAGCAAAAATTACTGCTGAGTAACTGAAAGGGATCACATTCCTCCAGAAATGATAAGAAACAGGAGAACAAAATCTTCAAAGCAGGAGAATTTTACCGTTGTTTGAAGGTAAGTTCTATCCCTTAGTAATTTTACTTTTGGATACATGAAGTTAATATTTCTACATGTTTTCCCTGTTAAACAGCAGAACTTACCTTAAAACAACGGTGAAAGCCTCCAGCTTCTCTCAGGCATTCAAATGCTGACCATCACTTCCTGTGTCAAACTATGTCAGCAGACAGGACTTCTGGCTGGGAAGTAGCAGTAAAATGCCATCTCCCACAGAGAGACATCAGCACTATTCACAGTTAGGGAGATAGTGAAACAGTGACAAGTACTGCTTTAACAGTGTTAAGGTTGTTTAGTATTTTACCTACTAAATGACTGGGAGTTAGAATTAGATTTTATGTGTCACCAATTAAAGACAAATCATTAAGGACAAAAAGTCTTGATTCTCAGCCACTGAAGAAATGGCCAAAACACTAACCTGTCTCTCTGGCACACTCAGAAGAGGTTCTTTTATTTTAAAATTAAGATGAGGTAAAAACGTGAATAAAAGAAACACTTTAATTATGCCAATTAGGTTATCCTAACTCTGAGGCATAGATTGAGAAGTTTCCTAGACCAGCAATCTGACAGTCTTAAGAGATGCCTTGGAACTCTTAAAAGATGCCTGGCAAAGATATAGGAAAACCATGCTATATGGATATGATCAGCAAATCAAAACAAACACCTGTAAAACAAACTTTAAAATTTACAAATCATGAGTTCCCCATCAGCAAGGAACAAAACTCCTTCTTTCTCAGGGATGAATTATCTCAAGGCCTAATGATAGCACATTAAGGGACCTCGGTTGTTGGCAAGGCTTCTGGGTATATTTCAGAGCAACACCTGCCATATTAAAGAACATAAATCCACACATGATCATTATGGAAGAAAAAAACAAAGATCAGTACTATTCACAATGTACACAGTGTTTATTTGCAACCTATTGTTGTAACAGGCAATGAGGGTACATACCTTGTAAAGCTTTTGGATATGCTGTAGGAGAAAGCAAGCAGACTAGTGGCTGTCCAAACAAGTTTGTGAAATTCTGTAATATATAAGAATTTAAAACTTGCATTAAAGATTTGACTAAAGATAGTTACTTAGTAATTTTCCAAGGCGTATCTTCAGTGTATAAATTGGGCCCTCAAACTCATAGACAGATGCAGAAACATCAGCAACAGCTAAAGAGACTGCCATTCATACATAATTACCACACATCATAGGCTTTCTTAAAGGCTCTCAATTGAAGTGGTTCACTGAGGAAACTATGGATTTTTTAAACACAATGCATATACATGGTTGTAGTTTTGCAAGAAGAAGTCATCTGGGTATATACCAAGAGGCCACTCCATCAAGCAACATACACTGGTATATATAAGGGTGAACATTCCAAGATCCAAGATCTGGCTTTCAGCTTCAAAACCTGATTCCTGGACCCATCTCTTATTGTGGGTCATAATAACTGCTCTCACGGAATGGCGTAAAAGACCAGAATGTCAATGTGAGATTTACAGTAACAAGTAAGCTGACACTCAAACTAAAGTACTCATTGCATAATTAATCATATCATTTTCCTGAGGGTATATGTACAAGGGAAGTAAAATCATAAGCTCTGTGGTAAACCAACAAGAAAAATAAAATTCCGCCAGGTGCGGTGGCTCACGCCTGTAATTCCAGCACTTTGGGAGGCCAAGACAGGTGGATCACGAGGTCAAGAGATCGAAACCATCCTGGCCAACATTGCAAAACCCTGTCTCTACTAAAAATATAAAAATTAGCTGAGAGTGGTGTTGTGTGCTTGTAATCCCAGCTACTCGGGAGGCTGAGACAGGAGAATTGCTGGAACCTGGGAGGCGGAGGTTGCAGTGAGCCAAGATCATGCCACTCTATCCTGGCCTGGGCAACAGAGCAAGACTATGTCTTAAAAAAAAATGACTTTTTATTTTGGTCTGTATATCTATTTACAATTTTTTTCTAAAAGGATAAGAAACAGGTAACAATGATTACCTATAGGAAGAGATAGGAACTTAGTGCATTGGGATTGGTGGGAGAAAGAGATTTCCTTTTTCTTTTTTAATTGCATTTTAGGTTTTGGGGTACATGTGCAGAACATGCAAGACAGTTGCATAGGTACACACATGGCAGTGTTTTGCTGCCTTCCTCCCCTTCACCCACATTTGGCATTTCTCCCCATGCTATCCCTCCCCAGCTCCCACCCCCCGCTGTCCCTCCCCTATTCCCCCCAATAGACCCCAGTGTGTAGTGTTCCCTTCCCTGTGTCCATGTGTTCTCATTGTTCATCATCCCGCCTATGAGTGAGAATATGCAGTATTTCATTTTCTGTTCTTGTGTCAGTTTGCTGAGAATGATGTTCTCCAGATTCATCCATGTCCCTAGAAAGGACACGAACTCATCATTTTTGATTGCTGAATAACATTCCATGGTGTATATGTGCCACATTTTCCAACTCCAGTCTATCACTGATGGGCATTTGGGTTGGTTCCAGGTCTTTGCTATTGTAAACAGTGCTGCAATGAACATTTGTGTGCATGTGTCCTTATAGTAGAACGATTTATAGTCCTTTGGATATATACCCAGTAATGGGATTGCTGGGTCAAATGGAATTTCTATTTCTAGGTCCTTGAGGAATCACCACACTGTCTTCCACAATGGTTGAACTAATTTACACTCCCATCAGCAGTGTAAAAGTGTTCCTATTTCTCCATATCCTCTCCAGCATCTGTTGTCTCCAGATTTTTTAAGGATCGCCATTCTAACTGGCGTGAGATGGTATCTCAATGTGGTTTTGATTTGCATCTCTCTAATGACCAGTGATGATGAGCATTTTTTCATGTTTGTTGGCCTCATGTATACCTTCTTTTGTAAAGTGTCTGTTCATATCCTTTGCCCATTTTTGAATGGGCTTGTTTGTTTTGTTCTTGTAAATCTGTTTGAGTTCTTTGTAAATTCTGGATATCACCCCTTTGTCAGATGGGTAAACTGCAAAAATTTTTTCCCATTCTGTTGGTTGCCGATCCACTCTAGTGACTGTTTCTTTTGCCGTGCAGAAGCTGTGGAGTTTCATTAGGTCCCAGTTGTCTATTTTGGCTTTTGTTGCCAATGCTTTTGGTGTTTTGATCATGAAGTCCTTGCCTACTCCTATGTCCTGGATGGTTTTGCCTAGATTTTCTTCTAGGGTTTTTATGGTGCCAGGTCTTATGTTTAAGTCTTTAATCCACCTGGAGTTAACTTTAGTGTAAGGTGTCAGGAAGGGGTCCAGTTTCTGCTTTCTGCACATGGCTAGCCAGTTTTTCCAACACTATTTATTAAACAGGGAATCCTTTCCCCATTGCTTGTTTTTGTCAGGTTTATCAAAGACTGTATGGTTGTAGATATGTTGTGTTGCCTCCGATGCCTCTGTTCTGTTCCATTGGTCTACATTTCTGTTTTGGTACCAGTACCATGCTGTTTTGATTACTGTAGCCTTATAGTATAGTTTGAAGTCTGGTAGTGTGATGCCTTCTGCTGTGTTCTTTTTGCTTAGAATTGACTTGGCTATGAGGGCTCTCTTTTGGTTCCATATGAAGTTCAAGGTGGTTTTTTCCAGTTCTGTGAAGAAAGTCAATGGTAGCTTGATGGGGATAGCGTTGATTCTGTAAATTACTTTGGGCAGTATGGCCATTTTCACAATATTGATTCTTCCTAACCATGAACATGGAATGTTTCTCCATCTGTTTGTGTCCTCTCTTATTTCGTTGAGCAGTGGTTTGTAGTTCTCCTTGAAGGGGTCCCTTACGTTCCTTGTGAGTTGTATTCCTAGGTATTTTATTCTTTTTGTAGCAATTGTGAATGGCAGTTCGTTGTTGATTTGGCTCTCTTTAAGTCTGTTATTGGTGTAGAGGAAGGCTTGTGATTTTTGCACATTGATTTTATATCCTGAGACTTTGCTGATGTTGCTTATCAGTTTCAGGAGTTTTTGGGCTGAGGCGATGGGGTCTTCTAGATATACTATCATGTCGTCTGCAAATAGAGACAATTTGGCTTCCTCCTTTCCTATTTGAATACCCTTTATTTCTTTTTCTTGCCTGATTGCTCTGGCTAGAACTTTCAGTACTGTATTGAGTAGGAGTGGTGAGAGAGGGCATCCTTGACTAGTGCCAAAGGGAATGCTTCTGGGTTTTGCCCATTCAGTATGATATTGGCTGTTGGTTTGTCGTAAGTAGCTTTTATTATTTTGAGATACATTCCATCAATACCGAGTTTATTGAGGGTTTTTAGCATAAAGGGCTGTTGAAGTTTGTCAAATGCCTTCTCTGCGTCAATTGAGATAATCCTGTGGTTTTTGTTTTTGGTTCTGTTTATGTGGTGAATTACATTTATAGACTTGCGTATGTTGAACCAGCCTTGCATCCCCGGGATGAATCCTACTTGATCATGATGGATAAGCTTTTTGATGTGCTGTTGCAATCGGCTTGCTAGTATTTTATTGAAGATTTTTGCATCTGTGTTCATCATGGATATTGGCCCAAAGTTTTCTTTTCTTGTTGAGTCTCTGCCAGGTTTTGGTATCAGGATGATGTTGGTTTCATAAAATGATTTGGGAAGGATTCCCTCTTTTTGGATTATTTGGAATAGTTTCAGAAGAAATGGTACCAGCTCCTCTTTGTGTGTCTGGTAGAATTCGGCTGTGAACCTGTCTGGACCTGGGCTTTTTTTGTGTGGTAGGCTCTTAATTGCTGCCTCGACTTCAGACCTTGTTATTGGTCTATTCATAGTTTCGACTTCCTCCTGGTTTAGGCTTGGGAGGACACAAGTGTCCAGGAATTTATCCATTTCTTCCAGGTTTACTAGTTTATGTGCATAGAGTTGTTTGTAATATTCTCTGATGATGGTTTGAATTTCTGTGGAATCTGTGGTGATTTCCCCTTTATCGTTTTTTATTGCATATATTTGGTTATTCTCTCTTTTCTTTTTTATCAGTCTGGCTAGTGGTCTGTCTATTCTGTTGATCTTTTCAAAAAACCAGCTCTCGGATTTATTGATTTTCGAAGGGTTTTTCGTGTCTCTATCTCCTTCAGTTCTGCTCTGATCTTAGTTATTTCTTGTCTTCTGCTAGGTTTTGAGTTTTTTTGGTCTTGCTCCTCTAGCTCTTTCAATTTTGACAATAGGGTGTCAATTTTGGATCTCTCCACTCTTCTCATGTGGGCACTTATTGCTATATATTTTCCTCTAGAGACTGCTTTAAATGTGTCCCAGAGTTTCTGGTATATTGTGTCTTCGTTCTCATTGGTTTCGAAGAACTTCTTTATTTCTGACTTCATTTCATTGTTTATCCAATCAACATTCAAGAGCCACACAATATGCCTTCTTGAAATTTTTGATTCTGTGACTTTATGAATGTAATACCAGTACTAAAAGTATTAAGCAAATAATTAAGATAAATTAGAAATATCTTATAAATCAAAGGGAGTAAACTGAATGATTCTTTTGATAAGGAAGATTGAGGCATTTTCTGCCATGCCGATTTTCATCTTGGATAGTGCTAAAATGGACAATGCTGTTATTTATTTCTCAAGGTCTCCATTATCTTTGTACTTCTGGCTAACCAACTTCTCTCCTTACCTTTTTTTTTTTTTTTAAATAATACTCTGTAGGAAGAGTTAACATAGCAAGCCAGATTGCTATCCTTTGAAAGTTCTGCTTATTGGTTGGCCCTTGGCTGGCTTCTGGGAACTTAGTTTTTGTGAGAGTTCCTACCATTAGCAGAACTGATGAAGAGTGGCTCACTGCCTAGACTGTGCAAACAAGATGGTTTATACTCAACATCTGCTTTCCTTCTGGGAGTCTAGCATTTTGGTAAGAGCCAGGCCCACAAGATCAGTTCCCAATAAAAACCCTCGTTACTGAGCTCCTAATGAGCTCCCCTGGTAGATAATATTTAATCTGTGTTGTCACAACTCGTTGGTTGGGTAATTAAGTGTGTCCTGTGTGACTCCGCTGGAAGAGGGTCCCTGGAAGTTTGCATCTGGTTTTCTCCGAACTCAC